CTTAATAATGCATGTGTTCAAAATGAAATATTTTACAATGGCTATAAGTCAACATGTATTGAAAAGAGGCTGAGCATGTAGCATGTCTCAATTGTCGAACTAGACAATAAGCCGCAATAAGCGCTTTCAATTTTAACAATACAAGGGTATAACATACATGTAGAAACAAAAAGGTTCAGTTGTTACCTATTAAACTAGTCCCGCTTCAAGGAAGAATGGAGATTCACTGCATGCATATCGGTGGCATGGATTGAATTTTATTTGCTTTTATACTCAAACCATTTGAGGTCTCTAATTCAGGATATTAAAGTATTCATTGGCATGGGATTCGCTTGTTAATGTTCGTTATGCCTACCATAACAGGCATTTTTTTACTTTTGGCCACTACAATGAGCTTCGTGCTTCTTCTTATATGGATTTTTTGATTCAAGTCTGGATTGCATATCTATGCTTGTTCCAGTTATTTCCCTATATTTATTTTATGCCAGTAATAAGTTCTTTTTTCCAGTAAGGCTGTACAGATTTTCGATTTTCTGTGCTGAACTTGTATTATTTCCTGCTATACCATTCATTTATGTCATTCTTGTTTATACTAGACCCATCGAGATTTAAATTTCTATTCTAAAAGTTGAACTAGGCTGTCCCACAAGTAAAAAAAACCATTAAAGATTTATCACTCCTTATCCTACGTATATTTTTAAATTTATTATCTTATGTCTTGTTCCTTTAGACCCTTGTTCAGGCGTTGGGAAGCCTTCGAGAAAGCATGTCTCAACAACAAGCTAGCAATGCCGAATTAATTGATGATCTGAGGCAAGCAAATAATGCGCTTATCACTGCCTTCGATCGAGCCAAAAAACGATATCTCGGCCAGATTCATCGCCTTGAAACGTTTGCCCACAAGTCGTCGACCTTCGTGTCTCGTGGCCCCCATACTACTAGCTCATCCGGTGGCCAAGCAAATGTATACCAACATCGGCCGACACCAGAGCCAGATAACCAGCTATATGGATGGGCTAAAGGCCCTGCTGGTGCTGAATTTCAACAACCATATTCACAAAATGCTTCATTCAGCAGGCCTGCCAGCTGGCGGAAGAATCCAGAGCTCAGACAAATGCACCAGTTGACAGAGCAACAAGATATGCTTAAGTGCTCTTACTTCAGTACAGCGGGTCATACCCGTTCAACAGATTCGTTTGAAAAGCACAGCCTCTTTCACAATCATGAACGTCAACAATCTCAATTGCCAGTACAATTACAATCGCCACAACTACAACCACAAACGTCACCACAACAGAAGCACCAGCAGGAGCAACATTCCGTCTATTAT